CAAGGGCTTCCTCACGCCTGCACAGAAAGAGATTCCTCGGCGACCTCGCTGCGCGCAACGAAAGCTCGCTGCACGGAAGAATACGTGTCACCCCTGCCTTGTTGAAGAATGGACGGTCCCCTATTACAGGTCAAGGGTCACACCACCAAAACAATTTTATTCCCGTCTTTTTCTGGGATTTTGTTGTGTCTGTCCCGTAATAAAATCACTTTTATTTTTATTCAACGTGTTTAAAATCATTTATTGCAATAGTGACGTGTTTACTAAACTAAAGTAATCATGAACAATTCTATTATACTGCAATTGATAAATAGTGCAAGGGAGTAAAGATGCAAGGGCAAAGACCGGTACCTCTATAGGAATGGTACACCCAATATAGTGTTCCCTATCAACCTATTGCCACCCCAACAATCCAACATGCACTGGGGAATCGTGCCTGCTAACACATTTCCCCCCTCAAGTAGCCTCAGAATGTCCCATTTCAACCCGAGTCAAATTCTCAAAGGCTTTGCGTTGGTCACTCCGCTCCCTCGCCATTAAACTGATTCTGCTCCCTCATGATTTTAAACACGTTGATAGGGTATTTTTTATGAATGAATAAAAATAAAAGTGATTTTATTACGTACGGGACAGACACAACAAAACGTTCGTGGAGGGCTAATTAATCTCTCGTGAAATACACACCGGGACGCTTATGTGAGGCGGGCGGGCCAGAGCTCTTGCGGCCCCGACCACGAATCAGACTGGATACCAGGCTAGGCGTGAGGAAGCTCTTGGCAGACACGACGCAGGTATTCGTGCGCAGACGGGGAAGCTCTTTGCAGAGATGACGCAGGTATACGCGCAGGCGACGCAGGTGTGCGCGCAGACGACGCAGGTGTGTCCTTGTCGGCCACGGTACAAAAACGTTATGTTCTCCAATAGAAGGAATTATAACATAAACGAAATATCAAATGTTTATGACTATGATGGTCAAGAGTATGATTGTAATCCTGCGTTATACAAACGCGGCAGGCATTGTCCAAGAGACCGGCCAGTTGGGTTCGTCTGTACAATGACATTATGTCCTTGGTCTGTGGGAGCGCCAGTCAGGTAAAGTCAGAAGCCAACGATTTAGAAAAATCTAACTATGATATCAAAGTCCTTTTGAGACAATAGCATCGAGCATCTTGATCTTCTCTTATGATTGGCAAAGACAATCATTAGGATGATAATTACAGCCAAGCCGTAGAATGCAAGTGTGAAGTGTTTTCCCGTGGTTAGTTTTGCGTCCGTTCGCGCGGAGAACGGCCTTCTCCGCAGCAGCCTTGGTCCTGTTGTAGGTCATGAGTGGACGAGAGGTGTCGTAAGGAGTGTTCTCGTCCCCATTCTCTATGGGATCACCGCGAGAGTTTGGACCAATGACCGCCGTGCTGCTCGTGTAGACGAAACATGGAACGTCTGCGTTCTCACAGCACTGCAGGAGGTTTTCCGTTCCTACGTGGGGGGAAGGGAAATATTGCATTTGACGCAAAGAAAAACGGGACCCCTTCTTTAATGAGAATAGACAATTTTGAAATACATGTACATATTATATATTACATATTATATTCGACTCGAAGAAAGAAAACAAATGAAAAGTTCAATGCAAGGGTGTTTCTGCAAAGTGATTATTTTGTGGTGATGATTCTTAACTCGCTTTATGGAGTTGATAGGAGTACTGGTTCTTACAAAACAACCTCAAACAAGGCACCGTGTTTGTCTTACCGTTCACATTGATATCCCATTGGATGTCGTCACTCATCGATCCCAGAAAATCGACCACTGCCGCTGTATGGATGACGACATCTGCGTCTGTGCAGATTTCTGACATGCGCACAGGGTCCCTTACATCACCGGCCATGGCATAGACGTTGATTTCTGAAGTTCATGAATACAAAAGACTGTACTATGGGGACTGTAATATTTCTGTCTCTATCAGCCAAGCCAAGTGCACTGACGGCTAGAACAAGGGACCACTCTGCTTAGCTTTATTTATGGGAGAACAAGCTGACGTTACAATAGAAACAATTGGCAGTTGCAATTGATTGGAAATTGAGTGCCCTTGACCCAGTATACGTCGTTCCTTCCTATTTGCTTGTAACACACCTACGGTGCCAGAACAAACATGTCGCCATACCTTTATCTCCCACGTCGGGCGGCTGAAAGTTTCGCGTGTTCCTGCCAACCACTCTAATTTCCCGGATGTTAGTTCCCTTCTCTGCTAACATCTTCACGATCCGGAGCCCGACAAACCCATATCCACCCGTCACCACGTAAGTCAGATCCTTAGGCATCGTCTGGAAAGAGAACACGACGAAGTTAAGTTTACGACT